TGGCCAGCGCCGTCGCCAGCGCGAAGCTGCCGGGAGAGATGCTTGGGATGGTGGCCAAGAAGCCGTTACTCAAACTGAAGGGCAGGGGGCAGAAGCGGATGGCGACTAAGACAGGCAGTCCGTCGTGCCGCAGGACCTGACCCAGCGCGACGAAACGGCGGTCCTCGCCGACGAGCCGCTGCACGTAGCCGCTGAGAACGGTGCGGCTGGCAAAGAAGGCAGCCGTCGAACCTACCACGGTGGCGCCGGCAACGATGGGCCAGCCGCCGGGAAACCCGAATATGAACCCCGCGATGGTGATGGTCATGCTGTAGCCGATCATGGGCGGGAACGCTGCGATGCCACAGAGTAGGAACAGCAGCACCCATCCGCCGGGGAGCTTCCGCCAGCCCTCGGCGACGGGATGCAGGGCGGTGAAGATGCGGTGCGAAAAGACCAGGAACACGATGCCGAGCGCGAGAAAGACCAGCCCGGCGACGGCAGCAAGCAGGCGCTGCAAGGGCGTCATGCTATAGCCGAGCTTGAGCAGCTTGTTCATGATGGAGATGCTGCCCTGCATTATGCGCTGGCCCAGCGGGCGGTGCTCGCCGCTGTCACCGCCGCGCGAGTAGGGCGTGGATAACCGCCGTATTCCCCGGGTTTGAGGACCCCGGAACAGGTCATCGCTGCTGTCGGGTGCCGAGCGAGCCCAGGCGGGCAGTCGGTCGTTATGAGACGGGCGATGGGACGATGTCGGCTCGGGGTCTGGAGATGGCGAAGGGGGGAGGGCCAGCGCCTGCGCTGCAGAGGCGTAGTCGGACGGCATGCTCGGGTAATATAGCTGCGCGTATGTCGACGGCCGGGCAGAGGTTCGCAATTTCTCGTGGCGGTCAAGATCAAGTAACCTGCCCGTCTCCCGGCGTGCTGCGGCTTCAGATAAGCTAGGGATCGACTGTGATAAGAATGCACGGATCTATGCGGTCTCTGAACTCTGGAGGATCCAGGTTCTCGGCTTCAATAAGGGCCCGTCAAATCGAAGTATTCTCGGGATGACCAATATTTACCGGGCCATTCTGTATTTCGAAAGTGGCATCAGAACGACCAAAAGATGTGATGCTGATGTTGCATGTTTGATGCAAGTGGAAGTGAAGCGGTTGTCAGATAGCGAAGTCCTGCAGGCAGACGGATCTGACTGGAAGACGGCACGACGGATGATGACGGAGCCATGCGGGCTCGCGGTCCGCGTTGGGCTTAGTGTGTCCTGCGATGTCGTAGCAGGCAAGGGCAGCTGTAGCAGAGCTGGGCTGGGCCCTGGCGCACCCAGCGGGTACCTGAATAAGCTGCCTGAATCCCGTTGCTGCAATTGGAAGTCATGGCACTGTGTGTGTTTCGTACTTGCTCTGATTGTCCGTCCCATTGGCAGTGTCTGAATTCTGGTTTCATGTCCCAGATCGTAGTTATACTGTGTGTATACAGTATATGCTGCGAGGTACGGCTGCGTCGAGATGGGCTAAGCTTGATTGGGTAAGCTCTCCATCTCGCGCGTCATGCATGCACCTCAAACTCAGCCTTAGGATAAATATAGTCACAACAGAACAATATGATTGGTGGGCGAGCCAAGACAATTCTCCTCCCGTCCCGAGACTTCCATGTCCATTCGCACGTGGGGCGTGGTCTTATTGACTGCGCGCAGGTCCACCCCAAGTGACTCCTCCCATCTTGACACTATCGATGCTATCATCTCCTGAGAACCTCCCTGACATAGGCGTATTTGAGTTTACGGAAACGTCGTCCAGATGAATAGTTCTCAGCATGCTTGACAACTCCTTTCATGTCCGGATTCATGGTCAAATGGGCCATCACAAGTACTTGAGCAGCTCAACTTAGCTTCTCATTCCGTTGTCATTCGCCCGGATTAAATCTATATTTACCTATGGGGATACAGTACAGCCAAATGGCCGTCCCGAGTGATATATCATGCTTGGAAATCGTCCATCGATCTAATAGAATGCCACAAGAACAAACTCTTTGTCCAGAAAAGGAGTAGAGTCGTTAATTGTATCACTGCTAACTGTCTTGTTCTCTCAGCCCATGACTTACCACACGTATACCGCATGAAAGGGTATGGGGGAGATCCACGTCATTCTCTACTTGTAAGACTTGAGCTGCCTAACCCTCAGTCAAGACGCAGTGCCAGTCTGCTTCGCGATCCAACAGGAAGGTCATGTAACAACAGAGTACAGACACCATACACACTCGTCGATTCTATTGGTTTCATGAACCTTGACGCATCGTGAGGGTTCCATGCGACTCTAGAAGCTCGACCCATGGAAAACGACAATAACCTGCGAGAGTAGTGGCTCTGGCCAGATACATCTAGATCAATCTCATCTCGTTGTTCTTGATACATTCACATTCTTTCTTTCACAGGAAAAGGCATATAAGTAGGCAATCCCACGGCCGTCCATGTTGACACAACTTACACGTGCACTCTTACATTTCGCCTGACCACGATAAGTCTACAGGAAACGTCAGCTCTTCCGGTTTTCGTCTAACCATAAATAACACAGTTGCCGTTCGGAGCTCTCCGCTATCGCCAGACATCATGAAGCCTACCACTCCTCTTCTCGCTGTTGTACTCGCCTTTGCACCTTTGGTGAGTGCCGGTCCCGCCGCATATGGGATCTGTCAAGCTGGTTGCGCGGGTGTTGTGAAGGCTTGCTATATGGCAGCCGGGTTCACTTGGGGGGCAACGGCCGGTCTTTCAATCCCGGCAACCGTCCTCGGTTGCAACGCGGCCTTTGGAGCTTGTCAAGCTGCTTGCTGGGTCGCTGCTATCACTCCGGCTCCTTGAAACTCTAGCTTCTTTGTGTGCATCTGTCATCCTATTGCCCATGGGAACGAAGTCTACGACCCAACGACCGATCGATCATGCGCACTATGGGACAGAAATGATATAACATGCGACTTCATACTCTCACTTTCGTTGGCGCAATGACAGCCTTGCCTGGCGTAGGATATTACGAGGTGTTACAGACATGTCAATGAGAGGGCAGGTGAATTTTTGGTGTCAGTTTTAGAGGCAGGATTCATACTACCATCCCAATTTTTTACTACGATATCAAGAATATGATGGTATTTGTTGTGGGCGAATCACACAGTCCGGCTGTACACTGTTCATATGCAATTTCAGTAGCTTAAGTAAGAGTTCTGTCCACTACTAAATACTGACTCCCAATGCCTCGTATATTGCACGTATGTATGCCTTGGACGCTGTATTTCCAATCACCGAAGCCGATCTCTTGTTCATAGCATAGGTAATAGTGATCCCACGCCCAACATCCATGATCCCCAGAGAGCCTCCTGAACCGCCCCAGTAAGCAATATTGCCTGCGGGCATCCAGTCGTCGAGCCAGTCCCCATCGCCTTTGATAGCATACCCGATACCAAAGCGCATGGGTGAGCCGATAGCGAGGTCTAGCCCATTAGATTGCTCCTCAAATATCAAGTCAACGGTAGGCTTTGACAGCAGCTGCTTGCGCGCGCCCGTACCCTCATGGCCCGCAAGTGTGACGGTCGACAGTATCTGGTTCATCGCGTGGGCGTTGCTATAACCATTCGAAGCACCGATCTCTCCCTGCATCCAAGCGGGGCGCCTCCCTACATCAGGAGGCATCATAGGATTCGCGACGGCCTTCATGAAGAGGGGGCCAGGCTTGAAATCAGGATTTGACCCCAACGGGGGTGTTGTCTTCGCAACCCGAGACACGTCCTTTTCCAGAATTCCGAGCTGGAAATCTGCGCCCAGCGGCGTCGCGATATTCTCCGCGATGAATTGTTTCAGACCCTTTCCCGTCACGCGACGTACGACTTCACTCAGCAAGTGGCCGAAGGTATACGCATGATACGCGGACGCCGTGCCGGGCTCCCACCAAGGCGCTTGCGGAGCCAGCTTTGCAGCGGACGTGACCGGGTCGCAGATCTCGTCCATCGTGACCTTGTCATCCCAGCCAGCGACCCCGGATGTGTGCGATAGCAGATGACGGATCTCCACGCCCTCCTTTCCGTTGGCGGCGAATTCGGGCCAGTACTTGGAGACTTTGTCGTGGGCGGAGATGGCTCCGCGATCAATGAGCATGAGGACGGCGAGACTGCTGAACATCTTTGAGCTGGAGGCTATACCGACAATTGTTTCCTCGGTCCAGGGCTGCTTGGTTTCCGGGTTCGCGTAGCCGCCCCAGATGTTGACGACATCCTCGCCATCGACGTTCACGGCGATAGAGGCACCGGTTTCTTCTCCCGAGTCGACGAACTGTTGGAGGAGCAAGCGGACCTTTTCGAATCGCGGAGTGCAACTGCCGTGCACTGCAGCCATGGCGCTACGTTTATGAAGTTATGATAGGCTGCCTGCCAACTGATAAGTATGTCTCGGTTTTGAAACTCCACGGACGTTTCTGAGTACCTGGTATGCACAAAGGGGTTTGCTAAGACTCTCAAGACAGCTGAGGAGGTTCTTCCAAGATATATGGGTGTCTGTCTGTAAGTAAGCAAAAAACATACCTCGTCAGCTTACAGCAGACCTTGATAGCTTCTAGTGTCGTTCCAGCTTCCTACGCAGATCGTACTAGTTCAGCTGTTTCACCGCGCGCGTAAGACCGAAAGAACCTTGGAACTCTTCGTGTATTAAACTCACTTGCATGCGCCTGGCATCTGGCAACCTAAGCAGCGATTCCCGGCATTAGCCAAGCCCTATTCGGACGCCGAATGTGTCAGCGGGGCCGTACTCACGGAACTGACTCACATTGTGGTGGGGAACATTGTTGGTCTAACATAGTATAGGTACTTAATCGATCTGCAAGAGGTGCAGGAAGGCCTCGTATAAAAAAGTAAAAATCACAGGAATCATCAGTTTGTGTAATAAAGGCTCAATCATATAAGACATGCTTAATTAAACCAAACAGTCGACGTGGAAGTAGAGTACACGACTTATTACCTGACCCAAGAACAAAAGATGAAGTTCTTGTTTCCGGCCGGGATTGAACCGGCGATCTTCTGTGAACATATATGAAGCTATTAACTTCCATGTAAGACAGACGCCCTAACCACTAGGCCACGAAAACTATCCCGTTGTTTCGGCTGTTGCTGATTGTGAATATGAGGCATGAAATGCCCCTATATTCCTCAAACTCGATCGTGGTGCTGAGTTTTGAGCAGGGCACCCGTGGGTGGGTCCGCTTCCGTCTGCACCTGCACTTATATATACCTCCCAGGAAAGCACAGTGCAATAGTCTTTTTCTCGTAGGTACTTAGATTATCTCTAGGTCTGATGATTATACTATTTGACTGCTACTTGACTTGACCTAAGGTACGAGGCAAACCTTTCTAGCGAGATGACTTTTGTGTGACCATATTGCCGTTTGTGACACATAATTGACCCTGACAGCGACTTTTCCCGACATAAACTACCTAGGTACCTATTGAACTACTTGCTCACTCAACACATAACGCCCAATCCCATGCAGCTGATAATAACTCATGAAAAGAGGCTATATTGTCACCCGAATTTTGAATATTGGGCTCTAGGTGCTTTAGATGAAGTGATACCCAATGTAGAGTTCCTAATCAGTTCCTAACCAGTTCACTTTACCCATCCTCCGCAATCAGTAATTTGCTATGTTTCCCCGTAAACAACATGGCCCCTTTGACATTGATGTCAATTCATACTGAGCTTCGATTCATCAACATTCATCACTCGTTGTACTCCCTTCCACTCCTCAGACTAGGACCTGAAAGTACAAATGGCCCAAGTTGAAAGTCGCTGATATACACCACGCTGGCCTCTAATGCGGTTATGGTACATATAGCTAAGCCAGTAAACAGCACACCTCGACGTGCACGGGCCTCTTCGAGCCACTCATTCTTCGTCGAGATCTTGCTGCATTTCTTTCTCTGATGAACAGTCAGCTTTTGGCATCCAAGAACAAACAGCACAGCGAAACTTACGCCAGATACGGTTGGCAGAATCCGTGATGACTTGGGCTTTAGCAAGCAGCTTCTCCTCATATTTCTGTTCGTCTTTCGACTTGTTTCTTAGCTTGATCGGTTGGGCCTTTGGTCAATGTCAGTTCAGTCGCTGTAGATGGGTAGTACCTGGGTAGCCTAGACGAACCTGCATAAGGACAGGCACGAGCTCCTTTGGATCTGCGTTTGCTAGCGAAGCGACAGTCTTGAAGCCGTTGTCGTAGAAGACTCGAGCGGTCCGACTCTTGATGAAGGTGACCTTGGCGAGTGCTAGAAGGTCTGCCTTGGCTCCGGCTCTGAGACGATCCGAGAAATGGTCTAGTATGGCTGCCATAGCGCTAAGGGGTATCAGAAATTGAAGTATCATGTGTTGGTAGGTACAGCGCGAAAACCTACCCCCAGCCCATCTGCTCGCAGAACTTGATCATTCCTGCCCCAAACCCTTGACACGTCTGCTCCAGTGTCTGGACAGTACCTCTTGGCATGTCATATTTACGAGCTACCGCATGCACAGGTAACTCGTTGCACAGATCCCTGAGCTGTAGAGCAAGGTAGAATCTTCGGTAAACACGGGCCATCTCTCTTTCTGCGGGCGTCGATTCTTTCATATTCCCACCTTGCGCCCTGTGTTCCATGTCAACAGGTTGACACGGGTTTCGAGGGAGAACAACCTACATTCTGTTTACGACTGTCGGTTTAAGCCCAAGAAAGGTCATAACGCGGAGTCCACTGCTATCAAGTGCTTCCATCTCCGTGCGGAAGACCTGCCAATTCACAGAGACGTTCAAAACCTGAACGGGCGTGAAGGTGTACAGAATATGCATTTCACCATCCATTACAAATGCCTGCAGTGCTCGCTGCAGTTCGCGATGAACGAATGCACCATCCTCGGGCTCTAATGACGATGCAACGACTGCCTTTCCTAATTGTGTCGCGACATAAGAATCGTCGTCGTCACAGGTCATGAATCCCATGTGGCGAAGATCCTTCAAACTAGATGTGACGTGCTCTTCAATATCGTCCGGTGTGTTAGAATGGCTTAAAAGCGTTTTTCGAATATATTCATCGATACTTTCCCGCGAGTTCACCAGCCGTATGGACACAACTTCCAGCAGTGCCCGTTGAATGTGGTGCTTGTCAGTTGTCAGACCGCTTGAAATCTGGGGTAGGTCTGCATTCATCAAGCCGATCACGTCTTCCAGGTCGGTCTTACGACAACAGAGATAAGTCTCGCCGATCTCGTCTTTACCCTTCCTTCCTGCCCGTCCACGCATCTGTCGCAGCATAGAGGGGCCTATTAAGTCACGGCCCATTCGCGCGTTATGTAGAATAACTCTCCGTGCAGGAAGATTGATTCCAGCGGCAAGGCTGCATGTTGCTACTACAACCTTCAGCGCTCCGTTATCGTAGGCGGTGGATATCAAGTCGCGCTCTTCGGTTGTCATCCCGGCGTGATGAAAAGCAACGCCAGCCATGATAGTCTCAGCCAAGATAGGATCGATACCGGTCGATAGACTCCGCAAATCTCCCATCAGATCGGCCCGCTTCTCGTAAACAAAAGATTCTAATTCGTTAGCTTGGGGCAGTACTCTGCTAATAAGCCGAGCATCAGTCTCGCATCCATTGCGGCTGCTACAGAAGACCAGAACGCCGTAGTTAGACCTTGCCGTTTCATTCGTGAGGGCAATGACAGCATTCAAAACGGGGTCCTGAAATTCCTTGTGCTGACTTGCCTGGACTGTCCTTACCGGTTGACTGTCAAGCTCGAGGGTATTACTAGAGCTCTGTCTCAGTTGAGTAGCGGTTCTCAGTATGCTTGTTGTGCTTGATGCTGGATAGATCTTCCCTTCACAGACCAGGTGTTCCTCCATGGGTATAGGGCGATAAAATGTCTTATATGTGTGCGCATCAAGCCAAGCAGACAAGGTTTCCATGTTCTAGCGTTGTTAGTAGTCTGTAGTTTAAGCCGACAGCTAGACAAATCGTACAGCCAAGGTGGCACTCATGCCGACAATTTGAACACTATGCTCTAGGCTCATCAGTTTTGTCGCGATAAGCTCCATTAGGTAGCCTCTTTGATCGTCATCTACCATGTGCAATTCGTCCAGGACTACAGCCCTCAAGTGCCTTATATTGCAATCGTCTATGGCTGAGTTAATGAGCATGTTCGCCTGTTGACAATATTAGAATGTAACTCCAAAGGGCACGCAAGAGATACGCCAACCTTCTCAAATGTACACACTCCGATGTCGAAGTCAGACCAAGTTTGCCTGATCTTGGAACCACCAAAGAAACCGATGACCCTCACAGTGTCCTCATCTGCCCGTTTCTGCCACAGCCGAGGTTTCTCGTCTCGCTTATCTATGTCAGCCGGCTTTTTCTTGATTTCCTGAACAATATTGCGCAGCCATCGAACTTTCTCTTGTACAAGAGCGACATATGGGAGAATCAAAAGAGCCTTTGCGTCTCTATCCTCCAATATCCTCTTCAGCATCAATATATCAGCGACGAGAGACTTGCCCCCACCTGTGGGGGCCGAATATACTAAGTTTTTGGAACCATTCAGAAGACCAGGGCCTAGAAGACAATGCTTCTGCCACGGGTAAATTTCCTTGATACCAAGACCGTTCAAATTCTTCACCAATGGTTCTGGCAAGGCATATCTGGGGAAGGATAGAGATAGGGAAGCGTCCGCCGAGGCGGTGGGTGTTGCAGATAACACATTGCGCTGGGAGTACTCGGACGGGTGTGTGATGGAAGCAGTTTCAATAGCAGAGATTTCGCTGGCTGTCAATCTAGGGGGCTCCCTCCCGACACCTGACGCTTTCTGGAAGTGAAACCGCCTACTGGAATCCGCAGGCGCGGAGTTGCCAACATCAGAGATGGAACGTTTGGAGCCTACTACAGTGGGCGTGGTGCTCAAGCTCCTGTGCTGCAATGCAACAGACTCGACTGTAGTCTGGTGGAAAACACCATGCTGGCGATCCATCGCCGTTGGGGTCCAACTTTCTGGGATGAAAGGCGTGCGTGCAGTGCAGGTTGGAGCATGGAGCAACGGGATAGGTACTTAAGTAGGTAGCAGGGGATGAGATGACGGAATAGGTATTTAAGTGTAAATAGTGGGGGCTGACACGACATACACGCGACCTCGCGTGCAATCGAGTGGGGTAGGTACAGAGATACCTCCGGGGCCTCCCTAAGCACCTGCACCTAAGGCAGCTCGGGCAGGATCCACCCACCTACCCTTGTCCACCGGGCTCGACCGGGTGGGCATGCAAATGCCAGGCCCCCAGGCTTCGGAGTTAATGCAAAAGTCAACCTTAGGATGCTTTAGGTAAGGTTGGCATTCCGGCCGCTTGTATCAGCCTGTCTTGCCTGTAGGTACTCGAACTAGGGCCCGTCAATCATCGGTTTCAAGCCTGAGAAAAGGATTTGGCCCCCGAGGGTCTCTGTCAGGTAGTGTCAGGTAGGTATTTCACTAATTCCAAAATGAATTGATTGAAACTTCCAACTGCTCGGAAACATTGGAATGCTGCTTATGTGAATATTCAGCATCCCTCTTCCGACGATGCCTAGCGCCATCTCCGGTCGGCTGTTACGCACCACGCAGGCCACGCAGGTATAGAAGTAGATATCGGGGTATATTTTTTGACAGTCCTTGAAATGTTGAAGAACAACCTTGAAGCTTTGGAGCGTCTCCTCTGTCTAATCAATTACAGGCTCACATGACCTCTAACCGTAAACACCGGATCTGGTAATGACACTACGCCGGTCCTATTGTACAATGCTTTTGAGGCTCGATGTGTTGGAAAGTAAATAAACAGGCTCTTTCCCTGCGAAACGCCTCAGAAGCTTTTTGCTGCCACGTTGGTATATCCCTCTAGTTATACAACCTTGTCCGTAACGCCAAAACTTTCTCCCTTGCGAGAACGAGCAACACCGTGAGCCTTCTTCTGTAGGGCTAAATCAATAGATTCCGCAAAGACGGGGAAGCACTAGCTCCGGTCACTGGTCGTCCATCATTAGTCCTTGAGGGTACGCTATTACTATTGATATTGTTGATATTTGATTCATGATTGAGACCAACGACAGCTCGAGG